CAGGTGAGGAAACGAGCAAATTAACCTGGGCCTTTACCCCTCTAAGGGTATGCAGACAGCAGAATGTGCCCCTAAGGATTCAGGGGAAAATCTGACAGATGCCATGGTAGAGCAGGGGGTAGATTAAGAATCTCAGGCAACTGAAGTGACAGGTAACAGTCATATCTCTGTGTGCAAACAGTAACAACAGTGGGCAGATGGGTGTACTGAGCTTTCTCCAGAAAATTGTTGGCACAAAGGGCTTGTAGCAACCTTGCAGAAGGATTCGGCATTGGCTTTAGTGGGCTGTGAGGGAACATAAAGGTCTCAACAAGCCCTTGCAGGATTCAGTCACTGAAAAGATAGGAGTGTGTGTCTATATCTAAGCCACCTTGTGGTTCAGTAGCAACCAGAGTCCAGTCCTGTATCCATTCTTTTACCCATGCCGCTTACATGTAGATTACTACTAACTCCAAAGTGTGTTCACCTCATTTCCAAATGGTAAGAAAGTAGGTTTTATTATGTCTGCTTTACAGGTAGAAAACTGAGGCACAAAGAGGAACAGTGGCTCTTCCTAAGCGACAGTGGAAGATGGTGGCCAAAGAGGAAATTAAACTGAGTTTTCTCCATCCTGAAGTTATAGACATACACCTAGAACCATCCCTGTGCCTGAAATAAGATGTTGAATTGTCCAAAAAAGTGAAGCTGCTCCCTGGCTGCCCTCACAAAGTAGCGATGCCGTGTGAACCCATTCTGAGAATGGTGCTGTACCAAACCCTGACAAAATTATTGGAGAGGATCACATTCATGTCAATCAGTGTGGGGCAGTTCTTAAGGCTCTGCCTTCATGCTGGCATTGGTATAATTTAGAGCTCAGCATCTTTACATCCACATATGCAGGTGTAACAGGCGTGTGTGGATGAGTGGAGCAGAAGCTGTGACCATGCACCCTCTTCTGTTTCCTTTCCTTACCACATAGAGTGTTAACTGGTGTGGGAAGTGTTATTTCCTTAAGGACAAATCCTCCTAGTATTTCACATTTTACTTGACAGGAACCCCTTCACCTTCCAATTTCAAATGAATACATTTCATTAGAAATGTTTCATATTTCTTGTGCAACTTATTCCAACAAGAATGTTTATCTTCATTGAATTGTTTGCATTTACTATCAAAATAAATAAAAAAAATATTAAGTGTAAATGGCATTTCCCCATGGGCTGCCTCATAAAAACAAACAAACAAACAAGCAAATATGCAAACAAACAAAAAGCAAATGAAATCCAACCAGCTTTCTGGCAAGAGGAAAATTGTATGGGTAAAAATATCTGCTTACTTGATTCCACATGCAGCTCTTTTTCAAGGGATGGAAATGCTTCATTGTGGAGCATACAGGCAGAACCTGATTATGTGAAGCTAGATTGTGGGGCTGTAATACGTGTTGACAAGCACTTTCTCAGGAGGTACAATGACCTAAGTAAATGCCCACCAACACGAATAAGGTCTCCACGGTTTCACCTGCTTGTCAATACATTTATAGGCTGAACTCTATTGTACACACAAATTTACAAGCAGAAAGAGCTAAATATATGGAAATGGGGTAAGCATGCAAGTCTGAATACAGGTTATTTCCAGGAGTAAGTTCACTTCCACAAAATTTACATTCACCCAATGTTTTTGTGAGATTCATCCCATCATGCAGGGATGAACATGACCAAAATACAACAGTTTTTCTTAAAATTGTGCCTATCAGCATAGGAAAGATCATGGGTAATACAAAATATATACCTAAGGATTAAAATATTTAATTGTCAAGCCCACTTCCAGAATGTTTAATCCTGTTTCTGAAATGGGGAAGGGAAAACAGGGACACTATTAAGATACAGTGTACACAAACATGAAATGCGGACTGAAACTATTGGATATCAATTGCATTTGGAAAAAATTTACTGGGAGCTAGGGCAAGAATCACTTTAGCTGTCTGCTAGTTCAATAATTTGAGATGTTTTACAACATGAATTCTCTGAATGAAGTGTTGCCAACCCAACTGAACTAGCAGCAATGGCCTTGAAACACTGCTAGATGGAAGAACCGGGTTTCACAGGTGCCTGGTTTCACTGAGCTGCTTTGAACGTCAGTGCCTCTAAATGGTCCCACAGTTGGACACAACATGTGACTGGGAGTTATAAACTTGCATGGCTGAATGGCTAGAGCACCTCTCCTTCAATGTTCAGGTTAGGCCTAATCTGTCTGTAGCCCTGTAGAAAAATATTTTCTAGGAAAATGAGAGTGCAAGGGCCACCACACATTGAAAGTCTGTTATTGAAGTAGGGGGTCCTATGCTAGGGATTTTTTGTGGTTGTTCTTTTATCAGTTTTGCCTCTGTATTAATTTCATTTGATTTCTGATTATAAGCATTGACCCCTGAGGGAAAAAATCTTGCTGTTTATATGTTGTGCTTCCTGCTGAGTCGTTCTGTCATGGTAGGAAAGGCTGGAACGCCCCTTGTACTCCAAGACACACTCAAGTAGGAATATGGGCACACTCTGTTTCATGTATTTCCGCTGCCACCTTCACTTCTCTTTTTATCTTTTCTCTGTGCTGTTTTTTCACCCTGCTATCACATGGATGGAAATTGCCCCCATTGTTGTTCCCACTAGTTTGTTTTGTTGCTTTTCTTATTTCAGTATCTCTCCTTATGCTGAACACAATTCAGTAGCACTTTTAATCGAGGAAAAATGAGTTTCCTCACATCTGTACTCCTTTATGGTTTAGGGCAAGTAACAGATAGAGAATCCCTCTTCAAAACTAGTTTTTATGTAATCAACTGCGATGGTTTAATGAAAGGGCCCAAATATTTTTTAAGCATTTTCCTGTTACTATTAATAATAATGTACTTTCTCCAAGGTTCTTATTTGGTTTTGACTAAAAAACTGTGTGGTTGCTACCTTCCCTGTTACAGTTCAGTGTCTTCCCAAGAAAAGACCCAGCTGGTGAAATCTTGTTGCTGTTTTTGTTAGAATACAAACTCTCTTCTAAAACATTGTTTTGACCTCTTCTGTTCTCCAGCTTTTTTCAGAGCTTTTACAATGACACTGAAGTAAGTCCGGAGTGTGTTTTTGCCAGGTTGTCATCCCTGGACTGAAGTCTGTAGGGATAGTCTGCTTTCTTGTGGCAGTAACCAAACACATACTTTACCAATGGAACTAATTTCTTTCTTTTGCAAAACTTCTGTGTGCTTTGAGAAATGTTGTGGATTGCTGGCTAGTAAACTTTCATGCTGAACAGTCATGTGTGTATGTGTATGTGTGAAACAAAGACAGGAGAAATATCCTACAAAATTCAGAAGTTTCAATATGGCAACTGTCCTAGTCCACTTTGAGACTCCTTTATGTATGATGAAGTAGTAATTTAGCATAATAATAAGATGAGGGTCAATTTCTTTAGATGTTCTTTAAGAAGTCCTCATTTTCTCACTATCCATGGATGCAGAGATAATACAACAAGGATGCTAGCACAGACTGTTTCAGCATTTACTCTTTCCCAGCACATGGTGCTTGATAATAGCATCCTGTTGATCTTTGTCCTCTGTATTTGGCTCTGTAAAAATCTGTTAGGAAACAGTTGTAGTGCTGGGGACTGATGAAGCCGTAGGATGCTGCTGTATCTTTGTTTCAACTAGAGATTTTAAGAAAGAATTAAAGGGTTATTTCTTATCTCTGATTAAGTCTAAGGTTTCATTCCCCAATGCCATCAAACTAACACCTTTCTTTAGTATAATACACACGTGCCTTTGCAAATATTTTAAAAACAGTCATCAATCATGTGTTGTAAGAGAAGACTAACCATCAAGAAGTAGACTTCCCTTCTTATTCTCCAAAGGTGGACTTCAATTATGCAGAGGAACAAAACAAGGTCTATGTGCCATCCAAGTCCCTCATAGTCCTGTTTGTGCTGACTCTTTACACACAGGTAGACTCTACCACAAAGAAACAATTTCTGTGTGATGTCCGAGTGCCACAATCAATTAAATTTTGTCTGTAGGACCCCTGTCAGTATTGTGTGTGGAAGATGGAAGACATGCCAAGAGGAGTTTTATGCCCAGTGGGCCTGGCTCATGCCCAGCTGAAGTCAGTGGAACTTTTGCCACTTCTTCCAAAATCAACAGAATGGCTCCTCCACTCACTCCCTGTTTCTCTTGCTAAGGCACAGTTCTCTGATATTTTCAGGCACTCGTGCTCTTCAGCTTGGAATCCCCACAAGGTTGGGTTTCATAACAAAAGGCAGCCCTCATTCTTTTAAATTCGAGTAGACAGAAGAGAGCAAGGTGAGTCATTTTTTTTCCCTTGCTAGTCTTGATAGGATGCTGCAGGTTTGCCAAAGATTACTTGAGGTTTCCATGGATAAGGTGTGAGTGAAGACTGCAGCAGTTTGAAGCAAACTAGGATGGTGTTTTTGTAGGTTTTCTTCTTAATTCAGTGGAAAGGACAAAATGCACGTGCAGCACTATCCTAGAGCCACTCCCTCAGCTGTTTGCATTTTAGCAGTGAGTGTCATCTCTTTAAAAATGTTTGATGTTATCCTCAGTAAAAGAATCCTTGTAGTCCAAAGCAGTCTCTTGTTCCAGAAACGTTCCCATATCCTCGTAGAGATCTTACAGACCTGACACAGAGCCTTTGAAGTAAACAGAAAGTCTCAGTGGCCTCAAGGGTTTAGTTAGGGAGCTCTGTGGACTGCACAAGACAGGTAACACCATCAAAAGCACCTAATAACTACTGACAGTCAGTAGGTCTTAGTCTCCAAATCACATGGATGACTCTGAAAATATTTATCCCAGGGCTGGCTATACATTCTTAGGAGTACAGAGCACATAAATGGTACTCAATGAATAATATAAAAGTTCTTCTAAGTACAAAAATATCTCTGTTCAGGAAAATTATAATTTTATGCTTTGCTATTTCTTTTTTGTCAATGTTTTTGTGAGCATCCCTTTGGCTATAGTATTTGCTTAAAGTACAAATATGTACTATGTGTCAAAATAAAATATTTATTGAATACATTTACTTTGTGTCTGTTGAGTTATGGGTGGATTCTGAAGTGCTTCTTTGCTGCACCTGATGAAGCCATTTTACATTCTCTCTTGGCTAGAGACAATGAAAATTTGAAGCCTCACAGTTCTGCAAAAATAAATGTTTGAAGAGAATTTGAGTTGAAATTTATCACAAACATTCACTTTTGCTGTCACTCCAGGACCAGCCACAGGATTGCATGAAAACAAGGGTTTTTAAGGGTGGGGATAGTTGTCTCTACCAACACCAGTCCTAATTTGTAGGTGGGCTAATATGAAATGGTACTACAGACTGGTGGGTGAAACTCGTCCAAGGATGTTTGGAGTTGACTATGGCTTTCCTGATGTCCCCAGAGAGGGCAAAGCACATGGTCTTGGTTTCTTTTCTTATCTCTTTCTTGCAATAATTCAAGAAGAATGTGAGCAAGTGGAGGACTGAGTCATTTACACCGTGGCCTGCATCACCCAGATGCAAAAATGGGTTTTGTAGATGACTGTGACATCACTGAAGAAAAGTACCACTATGACCTCTGAGAAGAAAAGAGAATGTACCTTTCCCAAGCTCCAGGGAGTCTGCATGGTAACTAAGAAATTGAAAAAATTTCTGGCACTGGCAGAAGTTCAAAAAACAGCCTTGGGACCTGACAAGTGGTCCTTCCTGTCAGAGAAATTTACTCCTAGACAGAGGAGCAAGCTGGTATTCAGACACTGACAGCAGCAGATACTCATATTGAGTTTGCCTGATTGAAAGTGATGTGGTTGATGATAGCTCATCAGGAAGCAGGAGGGCACCCTCCCAGGGCCTCATTGTCCATGTAAGCACCACCAAAGTGGAGGTGGGCATTGAAAACTCAGACCTTGGGTTCGTGTGAGACTCCCGCGCGAGACACCAGGCACTGCAGCTACTGCCATCTTCTGTGGTTGCTTCACAGGGTGTCCTGCTGTCCTCACTCCATGTCTTTCCCTGAGCATCTGTTAGAAGTGGCAGCCGTGATGCACCTTAAGCCTCCTGCAAAAGGTGAAGGACAAACAAAGGCATTGTTATCAAGTCGTGTGCTTTAGTTTGGATTAAAACTGTAAAACTTCAGGCACAGTTTTTCAAGGAGAATCTATGAATGACTAAGTGGGTCTGTGCACAGACTCATAACCAAAGGATTTGTCAATGGGGAGATTAAGTTCATTGTAGCTGTCTCTTTGTTAAGTGATTGGGTCCTTTGAATATGTAAGTAATATATTATGAGGCCTAGAACAAGTAAAATTAGATCGATATTCAGTTAGGTAGGATCTCCTTTGTTTTTGTTTGTAAGTGATGAAGAGACATACAGGATGCCCTTGGTTCTGGACCCACTCTGGATTTTTTTTGGTGGTTGCTCAACTCCTCTTACTGTCTATAAACAGAATCTGAGGAGATTGTCTTTTGTCAGAGTTACATATGTGCCTGAAGTTATATGGTGTCACAGTTCCATTTAGCTTTCCTGTATGAAGATTTAGAAGAACAAAGAACCTAAAAAATGCTAATTTCTTATCTACTGGATTTAAATTAAGCATACAGGGATCCGTGCCTCAAATAATCCGGTTTGTACAGTTCAAACACATTCTGCAACTCGAAAAAGAAAGACCCAATTCAACAACTACTTTATTTCCTCACCCCATTACAATCATTGCAATGCAATTATGTTAAATCCAACACAGGAAACCAATTATTTTTGCTGATACGGTGGAATATTGACTGCTAGAGAGTGAGAATAGAGGTCTACCAAGCCAAAGAGAGCAAATGATGACTGGTCCTTCAAATAACTCTAATTTCTGTAAAAGCAAATACCAGCCCTTTCTTTTATCTTTGTGTATCATGTCATACAGAAAGAGGTCTTGACATTCTTTGAAAGCTACTCAGAAGCCTCCACATGAGCTGTGCATAAAGAGCTGTAGGTAGCACATGAAAAGTCTTTAAAAACAATTCTGCAACCGTGGCTAGATCCACTGGGATCAAATAAGGTAGTCTTTAATTATAGCCCCCCTGAAAAGCTATGCATATGCAGAATGTTTCCAGAATTTGGCTATACCTTGAGACCTGTTTTTGAAGACAAGCCTTTCACATGTTTTAAATGGGATTTAGCCAATTTAAAGGGATGAGCTTACACAGTTGCCTTCATGATCAGAACCAAAGATGTTGTATGACTGATTTTTTAAAAATTTAACATATGTGCACTTATCCTATTGAAATAAAAACACCTCTGTGAAAAGTTAAGCATGTCCATAAGCTTTTGCAGGATGGGCCTGATTTTGTGAAAATGTACTGAAAAACCTGTGTAGTACCTCCTCAGTTCACTTCTATCAGAAAGCATGTTAGAGCTTATGTGTATTGGCGTGGAATTGCACTGTTAGCTGTATAAAAAATAGCATTTTCTTGCAAAAAATTTCCTGGTTGTTTTAGGAGATTTTTTTTCTTTGACAGAAAATGTATTGATCTGATCCTGGGAAAGTGACTGTAGTGCTCAACAGAACGGTTCCTGCCACATAATTTTGATGTTCATAAGGTTGTGTAATATTTCATATGAAAAGCCTCTGTCAACTTCTACTGACTGCTGAATCTTAAAATGATTCATCCACACAAATGTATTTTTCAGGAAATCTTCTGAAGCAGGAGACTGACCTCACTGCAAAATACAATTTAATTAAACATATGTTGATTATAAAAGTATGTACATATCTCTATATATTTCTTTTCTCTTTTCTGATTTATTTTTTAACTCACAAGGAAATACAGTGTTTAAAATAATATGAAAAGGAAATTCATGAGAAATAATATATTTTGAAGTATAAATTTGGAAAAGCATGTATTTCTATGTTGTAACTTTTAGTGTTTACATATAACTATAAAATAAGAAAAGTTAATGTGTGAAATAGCTAAAATTGTCACCATTTCTCAGTTCTGAATTAAATAATGTTTATATTTCAAATAATTGTAGTCCATGTTTATATCTTCAGATTTCCATCTCAGTAAATCTGAATGTTTTTGCCAGTCAGATTTCCCATACACCAATGGAAAATTTGATTTCTATTCCTACCTTTTACAATTTCTCTTAATCTTCATGGGAAGAACCATCTGTAATAAACTAGGAGAGGAGAGACTGGTTCCACTGACAGCAAATGAAGGTTTTCCCATTAGTTCCCTGAAGTTAGGAGTTTCAGTCTCAAGAGATAATTACAGGTAATGGTGGATATGTTTAGGTTGGTGTTTAGCCATTGGCTTCAAAGAGGACACATTTCACCCTCAAATGTTTTATTTCAGTAGTGTTTTAAAACATCTGTGTGACTAGATGTATACAAACACACACACCCCCACAGAGGTTCCTCTCGCTCACATTTCATGTGGGAGAACACATGGTAGGCTCAGAGTTAAAGCCATGAAGGTGTGGTGTTCTTTGATTGTCTTTTTTTTTAAACACAGATATAACTTGCATTGAAACTTTCTCTTTTTTTGGTCTTACACAGATAAAAAAACCACTCCAACCCTTTCATAAAGAAGAAATTTTTCCAGCTTGTCTCTGACTGTGTTGTCAGGACCAGTGTCTCACTCATGTGTGATGTTATGTTTTCCCATAAAGCTTTGATAGGAACTAAACATAGAAACTTTAATTCATTTCTTAGTCCTAAACCAGTCATTATTTTACAAACTTATGGCCAAATTTACTACTGAGTATTACAAAGGTCATTGTGTTGCATAAAGCCATAATTTCTCAAGAAGAGATACATTACTATTTTAAAACCTTTTAACCTTTAAGCTAAGCTTACAATTTTGTGACCTGTTGCACGTTTGCATGTAGTATTCAACTTGAAATCTGAGCAAACTGGAGGTGAGCCCAATCCAAATGTGCCAATCCAAGTGAGACAAATTTGGAAAACTGTATCTAGAAAAAATCAAAATCGTATAATCATAGAATAACCCAGGTTGGAAGTGACCTGAAAATGTAGGCATTTTTTTATATCTCCTCTTAAAGAACAAAAGAAGGCCCAGCACAAGTATTGTACGTCACTAAAGTATCTTCATGTGATTAAATTAAATTGGATTTAAAGTGGCGTAGGGGCCTTGAAATGGTCTGATAGACTTCACCTTTGCTGACACTGGGGATTGAGCTATGGATCTTCAAAACAAAACACCATAAACCTCTGCAAACTATGAAGACCTGAGAATTTTAGCAGACATTTTCCATTAAATGGCTGTGGATAGAGACAAGAAAAATATCCTGTAGGTATTGGTACACAGACAGTATAATGTTGCTGCAGTAGCTGGATGAAACCAAACCCACCACAGCATTGATATGGATTCTAACCAGTAATAAGGTGGAGCAGAGAAACATCTCCCAGTAGTGACTGAGCCCTTCACTGTATAATTTTCATTGCCGTTTAGAGTCCATGATAAAGAATTTCAGTTCACAGATGCAAAAGCCTTTCAAGAATGATGCTACAGATAAGACACCTCAGATACACTGACTTAATAAAAGCTACTCCTCCTCTAAATGTGAGTTTTGATGTTTCTTCCTTATTTAAGGGCTATTTCTCCCTGTCCACATTCTAATTAGTGCCAAGGAAAAGTCCTGTGCTGCCCAAAAAGACACCTGTAGATTTTTACTGAGTCTAGTTGTTCCAAGCAGCGGTCTTTGGACATCTCCAGGTCCTGTTGAGTAGTTGTATGTTGTTTCCATAGACCTATCGGGTCATTGATGCTCTTTGACTCTTTTATTTTCAGGTGCTAAATTAGTTAAAAGAAGAAATGATATAACACTGTCCTAAGATGACTATTCGAAGTGAGCAATTGCTGCTCTAGTTGCCATAGGGATACTGAATGAATGCAGATGAGGTAGGAGATATCCGGAAGGCTCTGTGAACACGAGTTTCTCTTCAGCAGCCCAGTGTGACCAAAAGCTGGGAGATTTCTGCACTTCCATCATGCTGGGGGCAGATGTTGAAATGGCTGTCTGCGTGCTGCACCTTGCTCACCACTGAAAGTGGAACTTGGCTCTTAGGTGCTTTTGAAAACATTACCACAAGTTCCCTAGGAGCAATACTTAGAAACAGCTACTTGCTGCAAAGACTAAAATACCACCAATACTGGATTCATAATAAATCCACCAAGGAAAACTGTGGAAGCTGCATACAGATGAGACCAAGTGGTGTATTTGGGGACTGATAGAGTCTAATTAAAATAAACTAATATTTGGAGAGGAATAACTCCTCCGCAGAGAAAGGATCTATTACATAGAAGGTGTTCAACACTATGACAATCTTTCCGTGGAAAAGGACTGATAAGTGAGCTGCCACCCAAGAACTTTGGTTCTAGTATTATTTATCTGATTGATGATGTGGTGAAAGTGGTCAACTGCACAGAGAATGGTGATCATTTTTAGTTCAGTTGTGTATTGGCATGTATTCCAAACAGGACTAAATCAAGGCTCTAGTCACTGCAGATATAACCTATAAATGCATGACATAATAATGCCTAATCCTCAGAAAACACTGACAAACTTAAGCGATAACTTGGTGACACACACCAGCACTCACAAAATCTACCTTTGGAGCACCATTTCCTCCCAGCCTACTCATGGAAAGAGATAGATCTTATAGCCTAAGGGTCCTCAGATTTATTCTTTCTATAGGAAGCTACAGAAAAACACCGATGACATTTATGACAAGAATCAACTCTGCCCTCAGGTGCTTTTTCACAGTTGTACATGAGGACTGAGTTTAACACTAAATTATTTGGTTAAAAATACACAAAAAAGTACAGTTTCACACTGTACATTTTTGACACAGACACAGCTGTTAATTATTAAGGCAGGTTAGAGCCTTGGCTATTGTGAATGGATGTATCTCAATTGCCTTCAGAGAAATTGTAGTGATTTGCTTCAAGTCACTTAGACTATCGGCTCAGACTTTCAGCTCCCAAAATGCAAATTTGTGCTGGAAAAAAAACATGCTGGCCATGAGTAGGCTGCAAATTTGATGCTCTTTCTAGGTCTATTTTCCCAAGCACTGTGCATTGGATGTATTAACAGTGTAAGATACCCTTGAAAGGATTAACTGTAGATAATATACCCAAATTTGAGCCAGGATAATTTATTTGAAATAGTGAAGGGTATGAATGAGATTTTATGAGAACAGATGTAAACATTCCCCAACTAGATGGAACGAATTAGCAGCTAAGGAATAAACAGAACGCACGTGGTTCACTGATAAATAAATACACAGAATCTGACTTGTCTTGCTCAAGAGTGGACTAGATGACAGTAGTAGCTTCTCTATTCCCACTCATCAAAATACTGTCTGCCCTTCCTATACAACACCTCTAAGCTTAAAGCTCTGCAACTTCTTCTAAAATGTCCTCCCTGTCCTCATTTTTATGGTTATTATAGTATTATTAACACTATGCATTAGTACCTTTCCAAGTTGTCTGATGGAGGTTAATTAATCCCTTTTAAACCACTCAAGACTTAATTGAAATAAACAAACATTATCATATCCATCTTCCAGCTGAAGGAAATGATTCACGGAAAAGTTAAGTTGCTTCTAAAGTCATAAAACAAGTCAGTAGGCAAATCAGGGGGAGAGGTAAGCAGCCCTGGACTTCTAGACTCCCACTATAATGATTGCATTAGCCTGACTTCCTAGAACCAGTATGTCTGAATGACATAATTTTATTCAAAAGAGTTCTCAATTATATTCACATTTAGACTTGATTCCAGTATTACTGTAGCCAGTGGGAACACAGCAGCAGAAGATTTTGGTGCTAATGTAGCCTTTCCAGTGAAAGACAACTGTGAGACAGTGTGGGTGAAATCATTTTCCTAATGGGGTACTTTTTTTAATGTTAGCAGGTGTTAGTATTATAAACTTGAAAGAAAGGCCAGGTGCTGTGTTCAGGTATGATCTCACCTTCCCTGTAAATGAACCTTTAATATGTCTCTAATTTCCTTGGTCAGGCACACCCCCCTCCACCAACTCTCCTGGACTATTCAGCCTTCCCATACCCACAGACGGTGGTAACAATAGGTAATACTGGATGCAAGAAGGGTCACCTGACCAGCCCTCGCTGTTGCTGTGAACCCTTCCCTGCTTTCCAGTGCTTGATGACAGAGTGTAGGGAAGACAGGAGGGCGGATGAGTGTGGAGAAGGACTGCTGTTACACATGGGTGGTGATGCAGTTCATGCCTCCGGCCTGATGTAGGGGAGAAGGCCCCCGAGATATGATGGTTGTTGCAAGTGACTCCAACCTCTGGGAAGCAGGGTGTGCTGCAGGTTCTTTGGGGACAGTGGCCTCTGCAGGAATTATGCAGAGCACCAACCTCAAACCAACCCTTGGGGCTCCACAATATATCGAAATAACATGGGCAACAGCATTCTGAGAGAGGCTGAACATACCCTCCACCACCATGAGGAGCAAAACCATGCCACAACAGGTCTACCAGACCTTCCTCCTGCTCCCTCCCTGAGGCAATAGGATAACCATCTGTATACCACTCTGATATGTCAGCACTAAACACCCAGCTTGTACATGACACGCTTTATCTCCCATTCTGTTCACAGCCTATTGACACATGACAGTGGTAGCAGGACCTCAGCGATTTTCCTGATTTCTCCTG